AAATAATTTACCACATTAACAGACTTTCTGAGAAAGCATTTGATAGGGTTGAGTATCCATTCATGATTTAACATTTTAACAAACACAGAACAAAAGCAAACTTCCTCTACCACACAAAACTCACAACATCACAGCAAACACTGAATGACCAGGGCTTCAAGGTCACATTATGGGGGATGGCTCTGAAGTAAGATAAAAACAAACTTGCCAGGTCATGATGGCTCACACCTTTAATCAGTGCACTGGAGTGGCTGAGACAGGCAGATTTTTGTGAATTCAAAGTCAGCCTGGTCCAAAGAGAGTGTTCTAGGACACCCAAGGCTACACTAAGAAACCCTGTCTCAAAAAAGCAAACAAATACACCGACGCATAGAGGCAGAAGTAAGGCAGAAACACATAGAGAAGGAAGTAAGATTATATTCACACACAACACAATTACACAGAAAACTACAAAGAAACTGTTTTTAAAAATTAGACTTATTAAGCAACTGGTACAATATAGTATTAACACTAAAACTATACACAACATTAATGAATATTTAGAAGAGAAAAATCTTTAATCTCATTTATAAGAACTAAGAAAATTGAAATTCTTTGGGATAAATTTGAATTCCCACCCCATAAAATGTATGAGAACTTTTAAGAAAAATGAGAAAACATTGCTTACTTTTTAAGAGCCCTTTTTAAGAGGGTTAAAAAGATACAAACAAGATACAAAAAGATACAAACAAACAAACAGCTGGTAGTGCTGATTAACAGCCTGAATTAAGAAGACAAGGCCCAGCCCTCAGTGATGGTCCAGATGGGAGCTCCAGTCAAACACTCTTCAGTTGGGAAATGCTGTTCTAGATGTTGTTTTGGAAAGAGTCCTCAGGCAAAAAGATCACAGATTTCATTATATTCTACTCTGTAAATGAGTGTTTGCTTTCCCTCTGATAAACACTGTGGGTTTTGCAAGCAACATCTACAGAGCCAAAAATGCATGAATGCTCTTCTCCTTCAAAAAAGTTCTGCATTCTGCTTCTAGTTGTAAAACTGAGGATCAAACTGAGAATTAAAGAGTCAACAAAGAAAGTGACATGCTGACCTCTGTCCTAATTAGTGAAGGAGTGGCATCGATTTCAGGAATGTTTCATAACTGAAAACATAGAAATATGTACTTCTTTTCTAAGGAACACAGAACACACTAAAGACAGGCAATGGATTGGTCATCATCTGATATGATGGCAACACATACAACCCTAATTGTCTCTGAAATATGGTTTCAGATATGTGCTGGGTTGGTTTTTGTCAATCTGATACAACAGAGTCAGCAGATAAGCAGAAATCCCAGTTGAGGAACTGCCTCCATAAGAATATCCTATAACTAGGGCCATGGGGGCATTGTCCTGATTAATGGTTAGTGTATGGGTATGCCCAGATCACTATGAGCAATGCCTCTGATGGGCAGGTGGTACGGGGTAATATAAGAAAGTAATCTGAGAAAGCCAGGGAGAACAAGCCAGCATGTAGCATTCCATCATCGTTCTGTTTCACTCTCTGTCTAGGCTTCTCTCACTGAGACTATATGTAATCCATAAGCTGAAATAAATCTTTTCCTTGCCAAATTGGTTTTGGTCAATGTTTTACAATAATAACAGAGAAGCAAGCAAGAATAACACAGGACTGGTCAATAGATGGCTAAAAAATCTGCCCAAAGCATCTTGAACATAGGTCTAAAATTAACTGGCTCATCATTGTCCAACCTCCTCTTTCTCCTCAAACTGATACATAGAGAACACAGCTGCACTGTCTGCTACAGGAGCACCTTCCCTGAGAAGACATAACCCTCCCCACCCTCCTTACAGAGCATCATCAACAATCCAAGTATGATTCTACCAAAGCCAGACTTACAGAACCAACGAGTCTACTGTGTTTACCTAGCATAAGTGAGGGTTCATTTACAGGAGCATGGTGACTCAAAGAAGCTACACCAACCAGAACATCCCAGCCAGTATGGATGAGGACTGCCTTACAGCTGGGTACATAGAGTTCCTCCTTCACTTAGCCTTCCACAGTTGCTATACTAGGGAATTGCACAAAAACACAGGATCACAAAAAGTTAGGGTGGACTTACATACAAAAGACTAGAGAGCAAAGGGGGGAAGCAACTGAAACATCAGATGAGGGTATAAGACCCCTCCCAAGTCTCCTTATATGAGAAAATCCAATCCCAGGAACCCTGGTGAAGATGGCAGCTGTTATGCTTGGAGGACAGTTCTCTATAGCACCGATCCAGCCAGCAACCATAGATATCTCCCTTTTACAGATACCTTTCTACATCCCATCAGCTATTTTTCTATAAAGAAACACTAATTAATTTCAGAACAAGCTTTCCATGCCAAAAGGCAGGATCAAGAACATTGCATGGGTACTGAGAGAATAAAGGCCTCTTGGCAAAATTCAAAGTATAATAACAAATGAAAATGCAATTGTAACACAAACCTGTTAAGAAGAAAAGAGCTTCTTTATGAAATAATGTTTAAATAATTATGAAGGTAATACTCTTAATATCAAAATCAATTGTAGATATATTTCTGTTGTACAAGATGTGACAAGATTTTACTTATTCCCTATTTTAAAAATGTCTTCATGCACATAGGTAACTATAAATACTGGCAGCATTCCACAAGCCTCTTAGTTGAGCAAATCCATCAGTAGGAAGATCTTTCGGAACTCTGAGCTCCATAAATACACACACACACACACACACACACACACACACACACACACACACACTATCTTTCAAGACGTCATTTGCAATGAAGATTAATTGTTTCCAGTGTTGGTTCTGTCAGAGGAGACAGTTTGAACTGCACACCTGAATAAACTGAACTCTGAAATATGGAAATTGCCTTTGTTCTTGCATGGAGATTGAGAAGAGGCTGTTAGGGGTGCAGTTGTCACTAAAATCATGCATCTACTACAAAGCTGGGAGACAATCAAGGCCATAGTTTAGGGTTTAAGGCCTGCAAAACAGTGGGCATCTGGGCATGACTCTACTAGGATTGTTGTTATCAGATGACTTTGCTGTAATATAAGTTCTACGTATAACTGTCACTTTGCCTCTTAATTACAAATTACAAAAATTGATAATAAGCCTTTGGCAAAATCTGAATTTCTGATTTATTTAGTGTCCCCAAAACAGTAGGTGAGGGTGCTCTACTCTATGAGAAACTTTGAATTTTGTCCTTGATCTTATTTTTAAGGGAGGGAGAGAGGGTGGGAGGGAGGGAGGGAGGGA